GGGTGGCTGGAGGATGTGGCTGGGGTTGTGCAGGGGCTCTCGCCAAAGGCGTGCTCTGGCTCGCCACCATCGCCATGGTTTGAAGGAGTCCCCTCTTGGATCCCATGGCCAAGGGTCCTGCCTGGCTCCCACTGTCCAACTCGCTCTGCCTTCGGCACCCCCGTTCCCGGCACAGTAGATCCAGGAGACCAGCTCAGCAGAAATTTGTTTTGCCCTGAGTCCAGCCAGGTCTTTTTTTCTAGTTATCTTCTTTGAACTGCCCCAAAAGCACCAGGCAGCTGGATCACCAGAAGGACTGAAGGAAGCATCCTACCAGCTCCACCTGAAGCACTGCAGGAAAGCCATCCTCCACCACCACCCCCTTCTTCCTTCTGCTGACATTAAAACCTTGCTTTGGGCTACAAATACCAGAGACCAGACCAGCGTGTTTCCTACAGGAGAGCAATACTACCTAACCTATGTTTTTTATGTAGGAGAGAGCCCACCCGCCCCTTGGGAAGGTCCTGGTGCCACCTCACCCAGCCTCGCTGGCCGCCCCGTTGGTTCAGCCGGGGACCATCGTGTCTTTGGGAAGGGGCTGTCACTCTTCAGAGCACACGGACCGGCTGGGCTCTGCTGCATAGTGCTTATCTCTTGGTGTCTATAGCTGATGAAGGGGGTTAAGGCATGAATTCCTCCTTGATTGTCAGCGGAGACGAGGAGATGAGGTTCGGGGCGCTGCTGCTGCAGAGGCCTCCGATGGGTCCCGGTGTGCCGATGGCCGGCGGAGTCGGCGTGGTGGTGCTGGTGGGCTGGCTTTGCTGCTGCATCTTCTTTTTGTTCACTTTCCTCTCCTTTGCCCTCCGATTTTGAAACCAGATTTTCACCTGCAGAAAGACAAAGACGGCGATGCAGAGATGCAGCCAAGGATGACAACTCTCGGGGTCTCCCTGGGGCAGGGGGTGCATCCTGGAGTTTGGAAGAGAAGGCAGGGATGCAGAGCAAGGTGGGACCACCACTGCCTGCTTGGGCTGCAGCCCCTCCCCAGCCCCATCTCCACCCGGGATGTGGGTTTTCCTGGGACCCCAGAGCACTGACCTGCCGTTCGGTGAGCCCAAGGGCAGCGGCCAGCTCTGCCTTGCGGCGGATGGTGATGTAGCGGCTGTAGTGAAACTCCTTCTCCAGCTCCAGGCGCTGGTGGTCCGTGTACACCACCCGGTACTTGTCTTTCGTCCTGGTCTTGCCTAGCAGAGAGAGCAGAGCGGGGGTGAGCCAAGAGGGGATGGAAGGGAGGGGTAGGAGCATCACCGAGGACATGGAGGAGCTACACAACCACCCGTGGAGAAACATGGCAATGGCCTGGGAATCAGTGGAAAAGAGAGTTTTGAGGGTCCTACTAGATTTAATGCTCATCCTGGGTAGCACCAAGGTGTTTCTCCATGTTGGAAAGTACCTGGGCATGGGGGAAAGGAGCAGGAGGGATTCAGAGGCAACCTGAGAAGATGGACTATAAATCCCACATGCCATGACACACCGTTCCCACGAGCAGCAGAGCTGCAAGCCCTGCCGTGGGCTGAAGACAAGCTGCCAGCAAAAATGCAGCCTGAGAGGGCTGAGGGAAGCCCAGCTCTTTGCCAGGAAGCCCAAGCCCAAGGTGCCATCACTTGAAGGAACATGGATCAGGACAGGGGAAAGAGGGAATACCCAGGGATGACAGCATTTCTCTGCCATTAAGAGGGTTATTTTCCTCCTCCTGATACCGAGCTCAGATGGAGGGCAGCAGCTTATTCATTTGGTGCAATCTTTAAAGATGAACCTTTAAAGGTGAAGAAACCCACACCGTGAACAAGCACTCCCAGGGGCTGGATCCATGGGCCAGCTGTGTTTGACTGAAGCCAGTCCAAATCTTGCCTTGGGGCCCCCAAGGGGCTCCCAAGAGCTTGGGGCCATTGAGCCCCTCTGTGCTCCTTCGTTAAATCACACGCATGCAGGGCGAGCTGCGGAGCGAGAGCCATCGGCGTGAACTCTGCCTGGGCCAGGGGCCATGGGGGGCACTTCAAGGAAGGGTGTCCATGCCCGGCAATTTGCTGACAAGCCCCTGGTGCTTTCTTCTGCAGAAGAGCCCATGGGTGGGGGAATAAACACAGCTGTGAATATTTGCTTCTCCACTCAAAATAACAAAACCCTGTTCTGGGGCATCAGGAGGGACGGAGCCATGCTTTCAGCTGAGTAGCCACTGTCCTTCCTGCTGGGAACCCAGTTTGCCTGGCAGACATGTTTGCCCATCTTCTCCTGAATTTCTGCTGCTGAGAGTGTTGCTGCCATGGGAAGGGGAAGGAGCAAGCCCAGAACAGCTCCACGGATTTCCCCGGGGCTGTCCTGGGTGTACTGGATAGGACAGGATACTGCCCATTACTGCTGCAGACATGCAGGGAGGGATTTCTAGTGACCCAGCAACCCATATAACCTCACTTGCGGCATGCTTCCCCCAGGAAAGGGATGTCTCTGTGTGTCTGCCATCCTGTTCATCTGTCCCCCCCCATGAGTCCTTGGCACATCCTCCAGTTTGGGCCAAATCCAATTGACATCTAGACATCTCAGCAATATTATTAAATTCTGACCATCCTAGTGGAAGCAGGAGTTTGGGTGGCGCAGAGCAAAATTGTGCTGCAGAGATTCCAGCCTAATCAGACATCAGAGAATATCCACACAGCTAAAGCCTGTTTCTCAGCCAACTCAATTTTATTTTTAAGGGTGTCCCTCCCCTGCTTTCCCATTGCAAGGAGATGGGGACTTTCCTAAGCCACCTCTGATGCTGAAAGATAAATCTAAAATCATTGGACAACCCATGGCCACGGTACGCTGTGAGTTGGAGAGGGGCTCCCCTGGGGTCATTTCCTTCGCAGCATCCCATGGGATGCAAAAAGGCAGCTGGTTTTCTACTAAATAAGCAAAAGCCAGCAAAGGTCCAGCTCCTGCCATCGGCCACCGAGCAAACCACATGTGGAAGCGCATGAGCGAATGTGCACCCCTGGGTGCACGTGGGAGCTGGGGTGGGCATGGAAGGCATCTCGCCCTGCTGGGACCTGACCCCAGCGTTCCCAGGCACAAAAGCAGAGGCCTTCAATTCAGGTTAGCACCCAAATTCCATGACTATGTCACTCTTTGTGTCCTCCTGCCACTGCTCCTGGAAGTGGGTGCTGGCACAGGCTCAGCACGTGAGCAGGATGATGCCAGAGGCTGGATGGGCTGGCCGAGGGTCCCAGCTCAGTCCCCAAGCAGCACTAAAGGGAGGAGGGTGGGAGCATGGTGAGGTTGCAACACGACCATGAGTAGAAACCAAATCTCCCAGCACCAGGGCTGGGCTTTAGCCACTAACTCGTGTTTGAGGGATGCGACGAATCCAGTCACCACTTTTGGGAGTGGGGAGCCCAGGTCAACCCTGGGCTATTTAGAAGCGAACACCTAATCCCTCCTCACCGCTGCTGAGAGCAAACCTGCCTCTGGCCACACAGGGTGACTCTGCAGGTAAAAACACGGTAAAAAAGGTAATCTGATTGAGCAAGATGTGTATGGAGATGTCTGCAGGCACGTGGCTGAAGCGCAGCCAATTAGTGCAAGAGGAGTCTACAGCAGCATGCCTGGGTGTTTGTCTCCTCTTTGGCACACACTGGCCGTGGCGGCTCGAAACCCAACTGACCGCGGCACAGAGCAGGGCTGGAGCGATGCCGGGGGCACCTGGCCCACACGGGACCCCTCGGTCTCCCCTCGCACTCCCACGGGACACCTGTCCTTCCCGTGGGGTCACAGCCTCCTCTCGCCGTCCCGCGGGTGAAGGGTTCGTCGCGTCAGAAGGAGTTCTGCGCCCCAGCCCAGGAGGGACTTGTGCTGAATTTGCAAACACAGCGATTCCCAGGGAGATACAGAATAAACCAGAGGCGCCGGCAGAGATTTATGCAGGGTTTGGCAGCTCCGTGAGAAACCGGGCTCCCTCTGTCTGCTCCACGCTCAGGGACTCCTACAAGTTTTTTTTCTTCCTCCTATAAATTTAACTTTTTTTTTCCATTTGAAAGCAAAAACCTTTCTGAAGAGATAATGACTTAAAAATGATCTTATTTGCAATATTGCTATTTGAATACCACTGCTTGGAGAAAAAACAGCTGTAAAGCAATGGAATTGACAGACAAAGTAAAAGAAAAAAAAGAATAAAGAAATAAGGCGGTTTGTGAATACCACATATGCCATGAATTTCAGCAGGAATTATGATTTGGTGCCGCGGGTTGGACATACA